ACTCCCAGTTTCTAGTGCTGTTAGGTGCTACTTACTCACTTCTTATGCTTGTGACCTGACGCATTGGGTAATGCCCTCCAGGAAAAAAAACCTGTCCATCCTGCTCTGCTCTCACAATCCCCCTGTGCTTCCGACAGGGATGGTATCAATCACTCTTTTTGAGAATCTTTCTCACTTTCACTGACCCTCTACTCATGTAAGCATGATGGCCTCTCCCAGGACTGGCTCCTTCTGACATGTCCAAAGACCTTCACCAACCTTGCTTCAGAGAAGCACTCAGGGTGCACTTCTTCCAGGTTAAATTTGTTTGTTTTGGCAGTCCTGCTTTATTCCATTGTCTTTGCCAAAATCACAGTTTCAGTCTTCCTTTTAATGATCCACGTTTTGCATGTGTGGCTTAGGGCAAGCACGCCTTAGGTCTTCAAGTCAGGTCTTTGCTGTTTAGTATCTTAATGAATGAGGTCCTTGCAGCAAAGTTGGTCAATGCAATGTATCCTTTGTTGTTGTTTTTTTTTTACTGCTCCTTCCAAAGCATGGATTATGGATCCAAGGAAAATCAACTTTTTAACAGCTGAAGTCTTCCCACTCTCCAGTGGTGAGGACCTTTATTTCCTCGAGGGTGAGATGTGATCCATAATTGAAGGTTGTGTCTTTGACCTTCTTTGATAGGTGTTCCAAGGCTTCGTCACTCTCAGCAAGTGAGGTTGTGTCATCTGTTAACACAGGTTATTGATCAGTTTTTTTTTCAGCATCCTGATGCCACACTCCTCTTCATAGAGCCCAGCTTCTTGAATAATTTTCGCAGTATGCAGACTGATTAGGTGTGGGGAGAGGATATAGCCCTGACACACATCCTTCCTGATGTTAAGCAATTTGTTCTCTTCCAAAGCTGCTTCTTGGTCTATGTACAGAACACCGTTGAGCGTTCTGGGCTTCCCATTTTTCTGCAAGGCTGGCTTTAGTTGTGATGCACACAGCCGTGTGCCTTTGCATAGTCAATGAAACATAAAACCTTTCTGGCATTCTCTGCTTTCTGCCAGATCCACCTGACACAAGCCATACCAACCCAGTGTGAAATCTACTCTTCCAGCCAAGTCGGAATAAGGATATAGCTTCTCTTTGAAGTTGTTTTGTGTTGCACTAAATACACTTTTTTCCTCTTAAAAGAAAACTAACCAAATTGAAACAAAACAGCATCCACCGGATCCTGGAGGCAATGCTGGTGAAGCTTCGTCTCATATACTTTGGGCGTGTTGCTAGGACAAGCTGTCTATTCCTTGGAGAGGGACATTGTACTTGGAAGGGTGCAGGGTCAGCAAAGAGAGGAAGGCCTTCAACCAAGTGGTTGACACGGTGACTGCAGCAGTGGGCTGACTGAGTATGTCAGAGGTCAGCACAGGTTTCATGGGTCATCTTTTGTCCAGAGGGTTGCTATGAGTCTTACGGGACTAATAGCTCAAGGGCACCTAACAACACTTACTGGAAGGTGGAAGTCAACAGTGTCCCCAAGCTTAGGGCCACTGTACCATGCCATCATTTCTTCCACTTCTCTATGTTCTTTGGGGTCTGTGGTTAACTGGAAGGTCTCACTGAAACCCAGACCATCAGGGAACTGACTCGGGTGGCTGTAGGTGAGGAGGCCAGTGATGCAGAGACCATGGGCCAGGATCCTGCAGGTTGTCAGGTGAGGCGCAGCTGAATGTTGTGTCCGAAGGGAGGAGAGTTCCAAGAGAGAGAGTGCATTTATCTCCCTCTTCTAGGGAGAGGTTCATATCCCACCCTAATCCTGTCTCCTTAGGACAGTGATTCATCACAAAATGAGAGGCTGTGGATGGAAGGGCCACATCACTTCGTTATATAACCTCAGGGCTGAGCCTGGGGCCATGCTCCCAGGCACGGCTGGATTTGGGGGCAACAGGGACATCCTCATCAGATTCTGATCTGCTGGCCATTCCTTCAAGGCTGAGCACAGAAGGTCCCACCTGTGCCCTCTGCTGCTTCCCACTAGAGAAATGTGCATCACTCTGTTAAAGTCCAAGAGCCCTGATGGCTCTGCTGCAAAGCCAGAGGTTGGTAGTTTGAATCCAGCAGCCACTCCACACGAGAAAGACAGGCAGCCCTGCACCAGTCAATCCACACGAGAAAGACGGGCAGCCCTGTAAATGTTCACAGCATCCAAAACCCAATGGAGCGTGACCAGGGCCCATGGGTGGGGTGGACCTGACAGAAGGAGGCCTCAGGTGTTTCTTGGGGAGTGGCTGCTACTGGATTCAAACCACCAGTCTTTTGCTTAGCAGCCTGATACCTTATGCTCTGCCCACTGATGTCCTCGGAAATCACGTGGGTCAGTTCAGCCCTGCTGTACAAGCTCTCTGTGAGCTGGGATTGACTAGATGACAGCAGCTGTGGGGCTGGGTATTTATTCTGTAGCAGAGAGAGCCGTGAGGCAGAGTGAGTTCTTTGGTTCGAACCCACCAGCTGCTTTGAGGGAGAAGGATGAGACCGCCTGCTGCTATAGAGACTGTTATGTGCTGAGTCACTTGCAACCCATAGTGACCCCATGCATAACAGCTCTGAAGCCTGCCCTGTCCTGAGCCAGTCTTACTGACTCAGTCACACCCACCCCCATTGCTCCAGTCACTGTATCGCTCCCTCTCCTCCAGGGTCTTCCTCTCCTGTGCTGTCCCTCCACCCTTCCACGCATGATGTTCTTCTCCAAGGGATCAGTCTCTGCTGGCCACGTGCCCAAAGCATGTGATACAGAGCTTCAAAATCCTAGCCTCCAAGGAGAAACTTGATTTCACCCTGGCCAAGACAGACCTTTTTTGGGTTTTTTGTGGTCCATGGTATCTTCAAGACTCTTCTCCAGTACCACAACTCAAAGGCATCAATTCTTCTGTTATCCTTAGTCATTATCCAGCTCCTTAACACATAACAAGTAACTGTGAAGACCATGGCCTGGATCAGGTGCACCTTGATCTCTAGACTGACATCATTGCTTCTCAGTACTCTGGAGAGGTCCCTGACAGCATTTTCCCAGTGCAATTCGTCTTTTGATTTCCTAACTGCTGGTACCAAGAGTGTTGATTGGGGAGCCAAGCAATCTGTAATTGTTAACAACCTCAATCTCTTCTCCATCCATCATGGTGCTGCCAATTGGCCCAGTGGTGAGAATCTTTGTTTTCTTGATGTTGAGCTTCAATCCATATTGAAGACTACAGTCGTTGACAGCAAGCATGTCAGGTCTTCCTCAGTTTCAGCAAGCAAGGTTGCATCATCTGCATAATGCAGGTTGTTGATGAGTTCTCCTCCAATCCTGATGCCACACTCCTCCTCATAAAGTCCAGTCTCCTGAATGATCTGTTCTGCATAGAGATTGAAAAGGTATGGAGACAGGATGCATCTCTGAAACTCTACTTTCCTGCTTTTGGACCATGCAGTGTTTCCCTGCTCTGTTCTGAGGACTGCTTCCTGGTCTGAGTATAGGTTTTGCATAAGCACAATCAAGTGTTCTGAGATTCCCGTTTTCCTGAGGGTCAGCCACAATTTGTTGTGATCCACACAGTCAAATGCCTTCCATAGTCAATGAAACACAGATAGACATTACTCTGGTACTCCTTGTTTTCTGCCAAGATTCACCTGACATTGGCAATAATATTGCTAGTGCTATAGCCTCTTCTAAACCCCGCTTGTAGTTCTCTGTCAATGTATACTTTTCCAGTCATTTTTTTATAATCTTCAGCAAGATTTTTCTTTTGTGTAATATTAGTGATATTGTTTGATAATTTCTACACTCTGTTGGGTTACCTTTTTTGGGAATGGGAACAAACATTGATCTCTTCCAGTCAGTTGGCCAGCTAGCTGGCTGTCCTCCCAATTTCTTGGCACAACCTGGTGAGCACGTCCAGGGCAGCATCTGTTTGTTGAAATATGTCAATTGATAGTCTATCAATTCCTGGGGCCTTATTTTTATTGCCAGTTTCTTCAGAGAAGCTTGAACTTCTTCCTTCATCACCATTGCCTCTTGATCATATGTTATTTCTTAAAATTCTTCTGTGTCAGCCACTTCTTTTTGGTGCAGTGACTCAGTATACTTCTTCCATCTTCTTGTAATGCTTCCTGAATTTTTTTTATGTTTTAGTATCTTTTTTTTTTATCATTTTGTGTGCGTGTACCGTCAAATCAGATCTGACTGGTACAGGAGGATATTGCGCCTCCTTCTCCGGCAGAGCATCTGGTGGATTCGAACCGTGTTCCTCTGGGATTGCAGTGCAGCTTCTTGCCACTAGGCCACCAGAGCTCCCCATGTTTTAGTATCTTAAAAATATTCTGCTCATAGCAGCATTAAGTATTGCGACTCATGGCTTGAATTTGTTCTTTAATTCCTTTATCTTAAGAAATTCCGAGCGAGTCTGGCCCTTTTGATTTTCTGACTCCAGCTCCTTGCACATGTCATAACAGCCTCAGAAACCCTGTGGACAATCTTCTTTGTCCTCCAGGGCACCTGGGAGCTGTGAGCCATGACAGGGGACTTTCTATAACAGAATGTCAACAGCACAAAGCCTGGCATTGTCAGAATTAAAAATATAAACACCACAAACTCACTGCCATCAAGTTGGTCCCCTCCCCGCTGACCCTTGACTGGGTTCTGGCTGTTAATCTCACGGGAATAGATTGCTGGCTTGCCTCCTCTGAACTGCTGGTGGATTCCAAGAGCAGGAGAAGCACGCCTTCAGACAGCAGTGCAGCTCCTGTGCACGCCGTCAGACGGCTGAATGACAGAGGTGGGGACCTGTGGCTGCTGACGTAAAGGTCGACAGTTCAAACCCCCCAGCTGTCCCACAGGAGAAAGACGCAGCAGTCTGCTCTGTGACAGTGACAGCTGTGGAACCCGGTGGGCAGCTCTGCCCGCTGTCCCACAAGGTGGCTGTGAGTGTAGACTGGCATGCCACCCGTGGAAGACAGCGTCCCTAAAGGCCCTTCTCGCCACCCCTTCACAGGCAGCTGCAGCGGGAGTTCCCCAGAGCCCTGATCTTCAGCACCGATGACTTCTTCTTCCAGGAAGACGGAACTTATGAGTTCAACCCGGACTTCCTGGAGGAGGCGCACAAGTGGAACCAGAAACGAGGTGATGGAGCCCTCCCCACACTCAGGGTGCCCTTTTGTGCATTTGAGGTGGTAACGGCTGCAGAAAGCATAGCTTTACAGGAAGAAGCGTGTGATCAGAGTCCCTCCCCCTCCCTCAGCGAGTATAGCCACCTCCTTGATTCAGGAGAGACGGGGTGCCCTGGGGTCTGGACCAGGCGGGAGAGACGCCCATGTGGCAAACAACCCGGGGCTCCGGCTGCCTGCTCCGAGTGTCACGTGTTGTTCACTGTTGTGTAATGTTGTGTTGCAGCCAGAAAAGCAATGAGGAATGGCATCTCCCCCATAATTATTGATAACACCAACCTGCACGCCTGGGAGATGAAGCCCTATGCAGCCATGGTAGGAGAAGCATCCATCTGAACGTTTCCTTTGGGGACATTTTGTGAAGAAAGTGGAAACATTGTTTTTTCCTCTTTTCCTGACCTTCCAGGAGCTCTTCCTGTTTCGTTAGCAGCTGCTTTCTCAGGAGACCAGGGAGATTGTTTTATTTGGGGGTGGCTTTGCTTAGCCTGTGGCTCAAAGTCCATGAGGGGACATTTCACCGCAGGGTCTACCGGTTAAATGTTGATGCTGGTTCTGACTCAGTGACCCCAAGTGCCGGAGCAGAGCTGCCTGGGGCCCCACACTCAGTCTGCACAAGGGACTTCCTCCCACAGAGCCACTCGGTGGGCCTGAACAGCTGACCTCAGTGTTCAACCCCTGTGCAGTCAGGGCTCCTTTGAAAATGCTACCCAAGCCTGCTGCCAGCAAGGTGACTCATAGCGACCCCACAGGACCGAGGGGCGCCCTGCAGGACTTGAAGGGCTGATGGATGGTTTGAACTGCCAGCCTTCATTTTGCTGAATGCTTCACTGTCAGGCCGGGTTTATGATTAGTCTTGGTCCGAGCATTTGGCAGCGTGTCTGTCCTGGTCAGTTTCCCTTGTGGGTGGAGGTGTTACCAAGCAGCCCCCACTGATGTCAGCCCAGGAAGTGGGTTCTGCCTTGGGGGGTCGGGGGCTGGCTACTAGCCACAGGCTGTGGCTGACACTGCAGAAGCTCCAGCACAACAGAAATTCTCAGTCTCAGAACAGTCAGGGTTAAGCCGGTGTTGAGATCCACCCCACCCCTTGTCAGGAGAAGATCCTGACTCGTGGGCACCCAGCAGGGCGGGGAGCAGCCCCGGGGATCCGAGGCCTGGAGGGCACGGCGTTCTTCTAACATGGCTGATCTTAGTGTTAGCAGTCTGCTGCTTAAATCCTGTGCCACCAGGGCTCCCACAATTTTGGCAGGAGATGGGGAGAATCCAGAATCATGCAAGGGGAAGGACCCAGAAGATAGCAGCACCTGCCTGCCACACAGCCCCACCTAGTTAGCTGGGAAGTGGGTGACATGGGGCCCACCTGCCTACGGGATCCTTCCCGTCTGGGCACAGTGGCACCTGTGTGGCTGTTTTGTGTCACATGTCCATACGTCCATTTGGTGGACCTCTGAGGAACCTGTCGAAGGGGGGTACCCTTTCTGGGTAGAGAACCCAAGTGAGAAAAGAAAGGGGGGGCCCTGAGCAGTTCAGTGAGGAACGTCACAGACAAAGTCTGCAAAGAGGACTTCATGACACATTGTCAAGGGTCCCCTGTCCTCACCCACAGCCATTCAGGGGTCCCCTGTCCTCACCCACACAGTCCTCCAGGGGTCCCCTGTCCTCACCCACACATTCAGGGGGTCCCCTGTCCTCACCCACACAGCCCTTCAGGGGTGCCCTGTCCTCACCCACGCGGAGTTAACTAAGATGAGGTCCCTGTCTCATCACACACAGTCTTCTACAGGAGATCCCCTTTTCTCCCTACCACATGCTCATCTGAGGGGAGTCCTCTGACTTGTTAGCTTCCCACAGGCCCCCTCTTTCTCAGCCACCCACAGTGACCGACCAGCCCACAGAAGCGAGGTCTTTTCTAAATGCCATGGTCGAGTCTTCCTAGTCAGAAGGACCATTTCTTGTTGTTTTTGTTTTCCTTCCATGTCTTGGCCTTTCTGTTGATGTGCTCTGCCACCTTCCACCCAGATCACAGTGTGGTGGTGGTTGTGTACCATTGAGGCGGAAACAACTCTCAGCTGACCCTCCGGCGGGTCTTCAGAGGCCGTTCATGGCATGGGAGGAGACTGCCCATCCTTCTTCCACAGAGCAGCTGGTGGATTCGAACTGCGTGCCACCAGGATTGCAGCGCAGCTTCTTGCCACTAGGCCACCAGAGCTCCCTAGCTCACAATGGAAATGGAATGTTACCAGGGAGGTTCGTGTTGAGATGACAGCGCCCAAGTGTATGGGTGTGAAGAATGCAGGCCGCTTCTATGTAAAGTGCAGCCGTTCTAAACTAACAACTCTGATGCATGGACAGGATGCTGGTTCCTCGCTCAGTCCCCGCCAGTCTCGCCATCCAGTGCCAGGCCCGAGGACAGCACAGAAGTGGCCGGAGGAGCCCCGGCAGCATCACCCCAGAGAGCCTCACAAGCCGTTGTTCACAGCCCAGACCTGCGGAAGGGTGGCCTAGTGGTGAAGAGCTGCCCTGCTGTCCTGAAGGCACACAGTTCAAACCCACCAGATGCCCCCCTGGAGAAGGCTGGGCAGTCTCCTCCCATGTGACTAACTGCCTCTGAAAACCCGCTGGAGGGTCAGTTCTGACTGGACGGTACACAACAACAACTCCTGCACACAGGCTGCTGAGCTGGCTTGTTGCTGTTCACATGACGCAGAGTGACCCTGTCAACAGCAGACGTGAACTCTGCCCTGTCCTGTGCCATCCTCATCCTCTCTGACACACGTTTAGCCAGCTGCCTTTTCATTTATATGTGTATATATAAAATTTATTTCATTTGTTGTCATTGAGAACATCCAGATTAGAACACGGAGCATTTCAGGTGTCTGCGTATCCATTCAGTGGTGTCGATACATTCTTCTCTCCCTCTTTTCAAAAGATGCGAACATAATAAATTCACTGTCCCCGCAGTTCCCGTTTAAGCTTTTGCGTTGCTGTTGTAGATTTGAGCAGAGAGAGACTAAAAAGCACGGTGCTCAGATGGGGTGACACGGTACAGGTCAGTGTGTTAGCGGGGAGAAGGCCCAGGCGGGGCCAGGGTTCAGAGCTGCTGTTCACAGGTCGCTGTGGGCTGTGCTTGACTGGATAGAACCTAACAACGTGTGCTGACGACAGAGCTGCTTTGCCGAGTAAGCTCCAATGTTGTGTGGTTTTAAGATGGGGATTACCCTCCCCCCAAGATTTAGCAATTTTGTCACAGATTTTACAAATGGCCAAAGAAGAAAGATGCCTCTCTGTTCTCCCATAAATTTGATAAAATTGCCCATGGTTGATCTCTGAGAATTGTACTTAATCTGGGAGCAGCCGGGTATGACAAGGAAATGACTCTATAAGACAAATTAGGCATTAAATTTACTGGTCAAAAAAGAAAATAAGAAGGGTTTTTTTTATTTTAAAGACTTGTAGAGGTGAACTGATAATGTGGACTGTCCCAAATGTCTGTCCCTGTCTTCAGTGTTTTATGTGCTTTTGGAAAACCAGGCACTTGAACACAACTATGAAGTTCTGTTCCGTGAACCCGACACGCGGTGGAAGTTCAACGTCGCGGAGCTGGCCAGGTACGGCTTTGCCCTCCAGCCTTGTCGCCCGTGCTGCGCCCTCTGAGTTTTCAGGCCAGGCAAGGGCCTGCAGGCTGGAAGTGGACACGGCAGACTTTTAGGCCGGAAAATGGGAACTCTCGCAGAACCAGTCATCTAGCCGCAGACAGGGTGGTTTGTGCTGGGTCAGCCCTGGGCTGACTCGTCCTTCCAGGGACGCACGGACCCTCCTGGCCATGCTTCCCTGATGGACGTTGAGAAGCACTGCCATGTGGGTGAGGTTGTCCTGCCAGTGGGGTGTCTGCAGTCAGGGGGTCAGGCAGACCCTGGTGCTGGACAGCCTGTGGCTCCTGCGCTCAGGCCCTGCCTGCATTAAGGCGACACCAGCACTTGGGTTTGTACTTAGAAAGTGCAGTTTCCTTGCTCCACGCTGACTTTCCAGATGCGAGGCTGCTGGTGTCCCTGGGGTGGGTTCAGCACCCCACGCACAGTCCAGGTCGCCATTAGCCTGCAGGCTGACCTGTCCCTCAGTGGGAGCCCTCCCTAGCCACACCCTCACCCGGCCTGGTGGAGCAGGAGGGCCCGTGATGGCCGTGACCTCCACAGATGGGGCGCCTGGCTAGCCGGTGTTAACAGGACACAGCAGCCCCCTGGGTGCTCTCTTAAACCCGGATGAGGTTTCTGGAAGCAGCACTTTGGGTGGGCTGGGGCCGCGTGAGCAGGAGGTGCACCGTTGGGCAGCGCGTAAATGCAGCGATTGTGCCCATCGCGTCCCTGACCCGCCCTGCCTTTCTCCCTCTTGTAGGAAGAATGTTCATGGGGTCCCCAGAGATAAGATCCAGCGCATGAAGCAGCGGTACGAACATGGGGTCACTTTCCACAGCGTCCTGCACGCCCAGAAGCCGGGCAGGGCCTCCTGGGAACTGGATAGGCCAGGTGGCTCGTCCCCCGCACACGCTGGCCCCCGGCCCAGCCCAGCCCCGTGTCCCGGCCGCAGGGCACATGGCCTGGTCGGGGACGGTGCCTTTAGCCGGAGGAGCCACCATGGACACTAGTGCCCGTTCTCGCGTCAGCTTTCACAGCAGGATTTGTGTTTATTCTCTGTGCTCTGGTCCTGGGGTGGATGGTGAAGCCCAGCGTGCCAGCAGAGGACACTGGAGTGGCCGTGGGCAGGGTGTCCACACGCCCCAGGACTGGGGCCGCTCCACCCAGGGACCAGCCAGCCTTTCCTTCAGGGACAGCCAGACGCTGACCCTGATTCTGCACAGGCAGAGAATCAAGTCAGTTACTCCTGGTTTTGTTTTACATCTTTGAATTATTCCTTTCAAAACGGCTGTTTTCTGAAGGTGGGCCTGTCTGAAGTTTGGCCCACTGCGGTCTGATCTGCTCCACCGAGTTATCAGAACTGCCCGCCCCCCTTCTGAGTCACAGCAGGACTGAACCTCCAACCTTTAGCCTGGCAGCCCAGCATGTAAAGCCCTATGCCAGTGAGTCCAGTTTAACCCCCTGAATGAACCAAAGAAAGAAAAAGAAGCCTCCAAACTCAGTCCCTCACTGCGACCCTTGAGCCCACCGGGGCTGCCCGTTAGGACTTCAGTGCTGCGAAGCTTTAAGAAAGGCAGCTTGTGGGGCTGAACCCTCGTTAGGGCCACGCGCTCAGCCCCGAGCACCGGGGTGCTTGTCAGGCTGTTCAGAAGAGCCTGCAGTGTTAGGAACGGCACCACCAGACCGGGAAGCCCTGTCCTGGGTGTCTGCCCGGGTGCCTCGGCCTCGCCCTCAGTGCGCATGGCCTGGCCCCTGACTTTGCCAGGACACCAGGCTCTGCCCCGTTAGGGGGGTGGGTTCCTCTCTGTGGGAAGGGGGACCTGCTGGCGCTCATTCCGTCCTGCTGGGTTCAGTCACAGTTCCCTCCAAAAGTAGCTGCTTTGGTTCAGTACTGCCTTTCAGCGACCCCGTGCGCAGCAGAACCAAACCCTCCCGCCCCTGCCCTGCCTGCACAAGCTCCGAGTCCGAGCCGCTGCTCAGCACCGCCTGTCTGTCCTGTTGAGGGTCTTCCTTCCCCCCGAGCCTCTCCTTTCCCGACACGATGTCCTCCTCCAGGCACTGACCTTGTCAGCATGTTCCCCGTCCTCCCTCGAAGGGCCACCCTGGCTGGGCTTCTGCTGAGACACTGCTTGTCCTCTTGGCTGTCTGTGGGATTGAGATCCTGCGTCAACACCAGTTCAGAGGCTTCAGCTCCTCCTGCTTCCCTCACCCACGGTCCAGCTTCCACAGCGCACACGAGGCGTGGAAACGCCGTGGTCTGAGTCAGGTGCACCTTAGTCTCCACAGTGACTTCTCCCTTTAGTGCAGCAAAGCCCTTTTATAAAATGCTGATTTTTGAAAGGAATAATAAAGTGATCTTTTAAAGTGATGTCGGTAATTGTGACTGCTGTCTGGTGGCCTCCGTGCTGGCCTGTGGGAACAGGCGCTGAGCAAGACGTGACTCTCTGGGGCGGTCAGGCTGGCTGTGACGCATGGCAGCCCCTGGATGGTGGAGCGGAGCTGCATGCCAGCAGCTGGTTTTCTTAAGTGCACTGCCAGACCTCTCTTCCGAGGCACCTCCCGGAGGATCTGAACCACCAGGTCAGTGGGCAGCCGTGGCCACTCTGAGAGCATGGCCGTTTTGCGTGGCATTCTTGAGGACAGCGGAGTTTCAGCCCGGGTCTGGAATGTCCCTCTGATATGGAAAGAGAATTTATGACCCAAGTTCAATTTGGGCCGCGTGGGGTTGGATCGGCTGTGGTGACGGGCCACGAAGGGCCACGTGCGGTGGGTGCTGCCCTCCCTCTCGGCCCACCATTTCCCACGTCTCGTGGAGGATTATTATCAGTGTCGCACATAATGGTGCCTTTATGGTCATTAAAAATTGTATACGGTACAATGTTTTACAGATTTGTCATGTTAAGCCTCTCGGGTCCTATGGGAAGTGGGCAACCCAGTTGTTGTACCTGGTGGGCACCCCGGCACTGCCACCTGGAGAGGATGTGACAGCAGCCTGGATGGGAGGCAGCGGGCCTGGCCCATGGGCTCCCCTTGGGATGTGTGTGGCCCACGTAACTAGTCTGTTACCTTGGACAACATCCTCTACATCGTCACAGGAAGTGGCATCAATGGGAAAGCCAAAGAAAGTAATTTGGTCACAGAAGGGGTGGTCAACCATGTGCAAAAAGTATGTCAACTGCATGGAAATGGGTCCTCGAAGACCTGGTCCTCTGGGGCCCAAAGCACTTCCTCGACTGGACAGAGGCGGGTGCCGACCTTCATCAGCGAGACCACAGGTGATGCCTGGAAGTCAGAGTGGACCCACGCCGGCTCCTAGGGGCTGGATGCCGAGGGGGGGCCTCACTTAACGCCCCCGCCGTGGACGTGAACTGCGTGCCTGTGTGGGGCAGTGCACCTCCTTACGGCGGAGCCTCCGGAGCCCAGTCTGTACATGTAGGTCTGTAACCTCAACTCTGTGGGGACGTTGGAACCAGCCGCAGCTGACACTCCAGCAGGTGTTCAGAAGCTGAAACTGCCTGGGAGACTGCCCATCTCTCTTCCACAGAGCAGCTGCTGGACCCGAACCATGTACCTTTGCATTGGGCACTGCAGTTCTTTGCCACTAGGCCACCTGAATAGCATGTGGTAATAAATCCTTGAATAGCACCTAGTAATGCCCCATCTTTTTAAAGGAATTTCAAGTACACTTTATTACAAGCGTACTAATGACACATCTTTTGGGGAGCTCACTGCCAGGACACTGTCCTGTGGCCTTGAGCTCCTAGTCTGTGTTCAGCTCAACTGTCACCCCACCGAACACCTATCACCCTCAAAGAAGTCCGACTCCTGGGGACCCCGTGACAGAGGATGGCGCTGAGGGGTTTCCAAGCTGTGATGGTTTCAGCAGGGCGTGCCAGGCCTCTGCGTGGAGCAGCGCTGGGGAGGGACTGTAGCCCCTTCAGTTAGTGGCTGAGCGCTTCCACTGCGCCCCCAGGGCTCCCTCAATGGTTTTTAGAGAAAATTCATGGATCCCATTAATAATTTATGGAAGGGCATCAATTATTTTTAAAAAGCATTTATTCTCGGCTTTGAAAGGTATTTATAAATAGGTAGAAAATGTGCTATTGCACATACATTTCAGACCTGGAAAGACCTGATCTAAGTTCTGATCCGTGCTTCTGGCCGCTTCTCTCCTGAGAGCACCAGAAAAGAAGGAGCGGATCATCCCTGATGGACGTCAGCTATCCTTTGTCTGGGTGGTCAGAGGAATGGTGGTGAAAAGGGAATTCCTCCTAGGGGCTGCGTGGAGACAAGGTTACCAGGCAGAGAAGCCCTACGATGCCGTCCACAGGACAACTTCATGGAGGGGGAGGAAATGAACAGCAAGGCGGCCACTCCTGACCAAGTGCTGACCACCATGGGATCAGGGATTTCGGAAAGCACTATGGAATCAAAGGGACAGCACGGAGGACCCGACTTCTGTGGTCAGAACAAGTGTCACCTGGGCATCTCCCGTCGGCCGCTGCACAGGACGCCAGCGGGCACACGCCTGACGGGAGAAGTCCCTGGTGTGCCGGAGGCTCCAACTGCAGGGCTTGGCCAGCTGGCATCCCGGGGCCGCAAAGCCAGGTCCCTCCTGTGACGCAGCCCAAGAGCATGCTTCCGTCTTTAAAAGAATACTCGGAGTGGTCAGATCCAGTTGCATGGATTTAAGATGTCTCAGTCAGTGAACACATTTTACAAGGTGGGTTTTAAGACAAAGCCAACATGAAAGGATGTCAGCACCGAGGCAGGCGAGGGCCTTCCTGGTCATCGATAGGCTCTGAGCTCATTTTCTTAAATACTGATGTGCACGCTGCACTGCCGGTCCCACAGCCCGGGGCCATGAGGAGCCACCCGTTTCTGTCATCTCGGGGGCTGCTGCCTCTAAAACCGCCCTCGTGCCCTCAGCTCAGATGTGGGGGGTTCCGGTGCCCTCTGAGGGCTTCTCTGGACCTCACAGGCCTGGTCCCAGCGGGATCGGGGGCAGACCTGAGGGGCAGCTCTCCTGAAGCAGACGCGAGGCCCTGGGTGTTGAGCAGAGCGAGCTCCTCGTCTGCTACTGAGTCAGCGCCCAGAGGAGAAGCCTCACTGACCGCTCCGAGTGGCGGCACAGGCGGGGGGACTGGGCCTCTGCCCTTCCCAGGTGTCCCGCCTTGGGGGCCGCAGCTCCGAGGGGGCTGAAACGCCTTCTGTGCTGCCAGAGACACAAAGGTGTGGCCGGGGCTGACCGGGGGAGGGAGCGGCACGCGGCTCAGGAGGTCCAGGGCACGCATCTTCTGGAGGGTCCTCTGGTCCTCGGGCCCCTTCTCGACCTGACAGCCAGATCGCCATGTCTTCTGGGCTGACGCTGGTGCGGGAAGAGACTTCCTTTTTGGCTACAAAGAGAGAAGACAAGCTCATGATTAGGAAAAAGACGGCTCATAAAAAGTAAGAAGCTGCCCATTAGAACTACAAGAAAACACAGAAAACATCGCCAAGCAGCTCTCCAATAAACACGTTCACGACGTAACTGCCACACACAGGCTGGTGAGGCACACACTCCTCGCCCGCAGGGACACCGTCCAGCACTGCAGGGTGTGAAGACAAGAGCTCAGGAAAAGCAGGAGGAAGACCACGAAGCAAAACCCAAGATCGGAGGGCGGGGGAGCCGGGAGGGGACACCCCCCATCAGGTGGGGGAACAGGCAAGGGACCCCCTATGTATGCTTTATACTACTGTCTTTTATCAAGAGGTTAAACAAACATTTAAACCCCCTTTAGGCCCCTCGAGCTCTGCTTCTGCTCCCCGAGGCCACTGCGACCCTCCTGCCCCCCAGCAGTCTCCACACGGATCGTCAGGAGGGCGACACCAGCTAAGACCGCGAACATGAGCTCCTGCTGAAGTAATTACCAGTCAGTGCGGCGCACGTGGTTTAAGGGTAACGTGTGCTTAGAAACTATTAATTAGAACAGGCCACGTGGTGAAAGGAGACGGGTTACACACGCAGGTGCTCACACTCCTACCTCAGAAACACCTGCTCCTCAGACCTGCGGGCAGCGGGCAGACCGTGCCTGCTAGGAGAGGGGACATGGTCCCTGATGGGAGCCACACTGGGCCAAGGAGACTTTCTAGGGCATTTCCATGCTGGCTGGGACACATCGGGATACAACATACGCCCTCAGACACGAGAGACCCACGACTCTGGAGGTCACACGGACTCACCACAACCTTGTGCTCTGCCCCCGGGGTGGCTGGGCCAGCATCCAGCTCGGAGGGGCGCTGTCTAGTTGGGGTGGACCCCGTGGAATTACCGGGACGGAGGAGGAGCATTAGCTTCTTTTCTGCCTCACTGAAGAACAGCTCAAAGTTCTGAGGAAGGAAAAAAATTGAGAGAGCTGTTTTGCAAACCAAAAATCCCCGTGTGCATGCTTCCAGAAAATGTTTACATTAAAACCAGAGGGGGGAAGGTAGAGTGAGTAGACCAACACCTGTGATTTACGGGAACTAAAGTCCCAGGCAGGTGCCCTGTGGCTCAGTGGCGAGGTTCCTGAGGTCCTTAGATGGGGCCCACCAGGCATGGTGGGGCGCTCGGTGAGGCCAGCTGCCCCGCAAACCCTATGCGGGAGGCCCAGTCTGTCCTCCTGCCGGTCAGAGTTTTGGTTAAAGTTACTGGAGGGAGCAGGACACACTGCGTGCGAAGGGCAGGGACGTAAGACCCCCTTCCTGCAGCTGAAACGGCGAGGTGCCATGTGGAGCCAGGAGCCTGGGGCTCCATTCCTGGGAACCCCTAAGCTCAGCGTCCCGAGCGGATTCCAGGTGGAGCTGTCCACAGGCTTTCCCAGGCCAGCGTCTTTACGGAAGCAGAGAGCCAGGCTCCTCCTGCACAGCTGAGCTGAGTGGGCACCACTGACATTTCAGGTCACAGATGGGCTCCTTCTAGAACTGTCTCTAAGTAGAAAAAGAGTTGACTGCTTCTCCTACCCCACATGCGTTCGATCGTGGAGATGGCTTCAAGGGCCTCCAAGAAAACCCTGGTGTGACCAGTAAGCCCCTTGGCCATGAAGGAACTGTGAACCCCCACATCCAGGAAGCGGGCGCTGCCGCTCACTGGATCGGGGCTTCAGGTGGATCTGAAGGCACTGTCTTTACTTGGTCAAAGCGTAGAACCGCCCCACAGAGTCCCTACAGAAGCAGACAGCGTCCTCTTCCTCCTGGATGTTGATGGATCGGAACCGCTGACGTCAGTTACCAGCCTGATGCATAATCCACTGGGCCACGGGGGTGAGAGGCGATATGGCAGCAGAAGGCGTGGGCCACGTGGAATAGACTGATGTGTATTCAGTGGACTGTGCCTGTGTGCTCGGGAGAAGGAGCTACGTCCTGTTGAGGTTTCAAATCCAAGCCTAACAATACAAGGTGCAAAGTGCCAGGCAGAATTTCAATGGGAACTTCACCCACCAAGGTGTGAACTCATCACACTGTTGGCTGGCAGAGGTCACACACACCTTCCCCTCCACCTCCAGGCTGTCGACCAGCTCTGCCGCTCCTTGTGCATGTCAGGCACCCCGAGCCCTCAGGCCCTCGCACACACCCCAGCAGCCCCCACTCCCTGCAGGCCCTCCAGCTTTCACGGCCTCCCGCTCACAACGCCTCCCCACCAGCCCCCACCACAGCCCTCCTCACATCTCTCCAGTTTCCTTAGCTTTAAAAAGCTGTGACTAAGACCAGATGCTGCAGATTACGTCAGTGCCCCAATTCTCATAACGGCACCTCCTTAATATCTGAGCGTCCAACAGGGAAATGGCGAAGGTGTGCACTGGAGTGGACACTGCCTCACCTCCACGGCCCTCAGCCTGCTGGCCGCCTCCTGGAAGCGGGGCTCCTTGGGGCTGGCGGAAACCACAGTGGACTCTCTGGCAAACAGGGTGGGAATTCCGGGGCTGGCCTGCGGCAGCCACTGCAGGTTGCTGGCGGCGATTAACGCAGGAGGCTTAACGACATCTTCGTTCAGGTCTGTCCAGAACTTTATTGCCAGCAAATGGTGGCACTCATCTGACAAATAGACCAAGGGAGCAAGGCCTGGATGGGCAAAGGAGGAAACAAACACAAAGAAAATGGCTTTGCTACATACGTGCTCGACTGCTTAGAAAGGCCGGTGACCCGCCAGGTGCCTGCTGAGCTGGGTCAGGGCGACGTTAAAACGCGCCTGCTGCTCCCTCACGGAGGGCACGGGAGGGACGTGCCAGCGCCGCAGAAAAACCTGCCAACAGACTAACAAAACTACCAGACGCTGCACCTTCAGGCTGAGGAACCTCCTTCCAGTCCTCCGCTCTGGGGACCCAGCTCTGTGCAGGCAGTCCAGCTCACAGCGGGCACGGGCAGACAGAGTAGACGTGCCCAGCACGGCTTCCAAGGCTGTCAAGCTTTGAACTAGCAGGCTGCCTCTTTCTTCTCTTGAGGATCAGGGGGTGGGTTTGAACCACTGACTTTTCTGTTAGCAGTCTAGCACTTAACCCACAGCCCAGACAGGGCCTTCTCCACCTCTGTGGCACTGCAGTGCATATGAGAGGTTCCTGAGCACACCCCAGATGAGACTTGTCGCTTGCTGGTATCTGCAGTCAGACGGCCAGGACGAAGGGCGCCCACTGTAGCAGGGCTAGGGGAACGCTGGTCCCTCCCCTAGGACGTCACATGCCATGCGGAGAACTAACAAGAGGAGTTAGGGCGGGAGCTGACGATGCAGTCTTCAAGGTAGGACACTAAGTGCAAGCGACTCAACGACGGTACACAACAACATTAAGTGAGAAACTCAAAACTCACTGCCATCGAGTCAGATCTGAGGCACAGCTGACCCTCCAGTGGGTTTTCTAGGCTGGAAGTCAATGGGGTTTGAGATTTTCCACCTGTCTCCTGAGCAGCTGGTGGATTTGAACTGTCAGACGTGCCACCTCTGGGTCAGCAGTACAGCCCCCCAGGAACCCAGGGTAAAGGGGCGGGGTGGGGGAGGCGAGGGGAGACTGAGGCCAGGAGGCCAGGCTGGAGGCAGTGCTGTCTGTGTCTCCCTGGGCAGCTCTGATTCTGACCCACAGTGTCATGTCACAGGCCCTTCCCAGAAACCCCAAATAAACCAACAGACCAACAAGATCAACCCAGTAGGAAGGGAATGCCAAGCAGAGTATAGCATTTAAAACACGGATCTCCCAAAGAAGCGATGAAGATCATCTGAGCCCAGGAACAACAGCAAAGCTCAGCAAGGCAGACAAGAAGTGCTGGTGTGAGCACAGGCGGCTCAGGACCGTCACAGGGCCAATTCGTGACAGCAATGCGCACAGCCACTTCAGAAAATGCAGTGTGTCCTCCACGACAGCACCTGTCCAGAAATCCCACCAGTACTTATACATTCTGAAGAGTCAAGAGCCACAGTGTGACTAGGTCCATGCACACCTGTGGTCATGACAACAGCCCAGGGATGGACATCAGCTAATGAAGACATCCACACCCGCACACACAGTGGAAAAGGAGGCAACAACGTTAAGAAAGGAAAGTCTGAGAAACACCACACAACGTGGATGGCTCTGGAGGACGTGAGTCAGTCAGTCACAGAAGGACAAGCTCCCTGCAGGAAAAGCTGAGGGAAGGTGACACAGCCAGAGTCCTAATCATTCTGATGGTCACCAGGTGGGGAGCCAAGGTGACGCAGTGCACAGCTGTGCTGCCAACTCAAAGGCTGCGTCTGCTGATTCTGCCACACCAGCCGCCCCAGAGATGTGCACGTCACAGGACACAATACACGGTGGGGGGTGTGCCCGTCACAGAGTGAAGGGAAGACCAGGAGTGGTGCAGGAAACGCAGTACACACACACTTCTGCACCAGTAACAACATGTGCTGACAAGTGGATACACAGGCAGACAGGCAAGGTGGGGCAGGTGAAGGAGCTGCCCATGGTCATGTATACCTTTGTCAGATGGTATTTCTACAAGCAGAGGTGTTGATATTGTAAATAAATCTACATATACAGGAAAGTCAACAGGTGGCCGAAACCAATGAGTATGACTTGTGTGAGACATGAAAAATCAAAAGCATAATACCCCCCCCACCAAGACCCCAGTGTGAGAAGTGACTCCAAATCAGAGGGACTCTACAAAAGTTGGGTGTGAAAGCAGTGACATGCAGTGAAGTTGAAGTGTGCAATGACAAGGGATGGAAGGGTGGAGACACAAGATACGGATGTGCAAGGCCTTTCTGTGTGCAGGGAGTGAGTGGGTGAATGCTGCCCTGCAGAGATGTGAGCCTGTGTCCCAGCTGTCGGACACAGAAGTACAGGGAAGTGGGGGGCTGAGGTGAGGCTGTGGCTGGCAGAGAACTGCCGACACAGTATTACTGTTTCCGTCACAGCGGTGAGGTGCAGCTGCACTGACTGCGGTGTGGATGTGAGGATGAGGTGGTCGGCTGCTCCAGATTTACGGCTCTGGAAGGTGCCTGACTCAAGCCCACAGGGCAGCCCCACGGGAGAATGAGGCGGCAGTCGGCTGCTGAAAACGGCTGTGGTGCGCTGCCGAGCCGGGAGACTCCCAGCTGGCCCTCCAGAGCGTGGGCAGCAGCGTAACACGCACGAGAGGAGACTGGCCACCTTTCTCCCACAGAGCAGCTGGAGGATAGCGGCCACCTGTCTGGGTTCTCGGCACTACAGCTCCCTCTGTAAAGATGGTGGCCTTGGAAATGCTGTGGGACACGTCTCCCCTGTCCTCCAGGGTCGTGCGGGTGGGACGGACTCTATCACAATGGCTGCCTCTATACAATTAGTCCAACCCACTCACAGGGACTCTGTCGGGCTATCAGACATCAAAGCTTTACAGGAGATTGTCCAGCTTTCTCCACAGGGCAGTAGGGGATTTGAACTGCTAACCTTGTGGTCAGCAATGTGACAGGTTTATGCACTATACCTTCTCTGTATAAACACACCCTATAGACAGCAGGGATGGTGTGGAGCAACTCCTCCAAGTGCCCAAGACGCCTGAGAGAATAACACCGACACAGCAGCAAACCCACCAGCAGGCCCGAAGACAAGGTTCTGAAGGAGGACAGAGCACAGGGAAGGACTCAGAGTCCGAATAACTCTGGTGGCCACCCACCGATCTGAGGCCTATCAGGATCTGGGCTGCAGCCAGTGAAGCGGTCACTCCCGACCCTCTAGTCCTGGACTGGTGCTGGGGGGGGTCTCAGCCTCCGTGTCATGACTACGTGGCACTGAGCTCATGTGTGATTTAAACTGTGCACATCCAAGAACACCTAACTCAGCCCGGGGAAGGCACGGTGCTGCAGAGAGTGGGCAGAGTTACAAGATACACTGCTCATTACCTCTTCTTGTCACAACAGCAATGACAAAGCCCAGCAGGTCCACCTCACGGCAAGGGGGGCAGAAGTCGGGGTCTAATAACTTGTTGAAAAGGAGGAGTTCCCTTGGCTGGTAAACCTGGAGCAGGATTTCGTCTGAAGCCTGCAAGGGAAAGAACCAAGCATCTCCGTCACTGTGGACTCTGAACAGATCAGCTTCTCTTCAGAGCACAGTGTCTGACACACACTTACCGGCAGGTGCTGGTACCGCGTTTTCTTTGTGGTTGTGAGCTGTATGCCAGTTCTCTCAGATTGACTTTTTGATTTTGATGTTGCAAGATGGTAGATTCTGAATCTCTTTCCCTCCGTTAACAGGGAGAAAAGATCTGATGAGGGACGCCAGATACTCAACATAACTGTTAAAGACAGAGGGAAAAGCAAATCAGACAACGAAGACCTGATAAGCATTAAGTAAAGGCCTCCTAGGGAGCTCTGATGGCTAGGGGTAAGGAGCTGCACTGCCAACACACAGGTACATGGTTTGAATCTTCCAGCTGCTCCGTGGAAGGAAGATGGGCAGTCTCCTATTTGACATCCTGCCTCCGGAAATGCGGGTAGGTCCTGACTCGACAGTACACAACACCAACCAGTGGTGTAGTGGGGAGCTCTGTAGCCTGGCGGTAAGGAGCTGCACTGCAATCTCAAAGGCATGCAGTTCAGACGCGGGGGTGGGGGGTGGGGAGGAAGAGCTATTCCCTCTCCTGCGATTTACCGCCTCTGCAAACCTGCTGGAGGCTCAGTTACGAGTCAGTCCGACGGGAAAGCACACACAAGAACAGCAGCAGTGGTACGGCGGGTCGGCTGCTAACGGAAAGGCTGGCGGTCCCAGTCCACCAGCTGCTTCTCAGGATAAAGATTTAAGCCTTGGAAGCCGAGGCAGGCTCTGCAGGAGGCAGGACGACCCGATGGCAGTGCGTCTGGTGGTCCCAGGTGGCTGACTCTGCACTTCTGATACCTGCTGACGTTAACTATGTCCAGCTTCTGAAGCTGTTTTACCCACAAGGAAGAGGACAGAAGTGGCAGAAACCAAGCCGTCCGCACTGACCTGAGCCGCCGTCCTTTTTCCTGTAGTCAACAAGGCGCAGCCTCCACACGGCCGTGACGTCCCGGGACAAGGCCGGGGACCCATGCTGTGCGGCCTCCACGGCCTTCCGGAATTCCTGCTGGATCTGCGCCTGTTTGCGCTCCTGCAGCCTCTGCCGGTGAAGGTCCAGGGCCCGCAGCTGCTCCTCACTGAGGCAGCTCTGGGGCCACGTCAGAGCCCATGGTGGATGATGCCGGTAAAAGCAAACAACACCAAACAAGTCCCGTGAGCGGACTCATGAAATGAGGACAAAAGAAGAGAGAACCTGCACCCAGTGCAGGGCGTGCTCAGCGGTCTCTCCAATGTCAACCTCAACAGCCCACACAGCTACCATTGGGCTACACACCTTCTCTCACACCCCGTAACCTCACATGTCCTTGTGAGGGGCGCTAGGGGTGCAGTCTGTAGGCAACTGTGCAGCTACTTCAATGGCAGAGCCTCTCTGGTGGTTCGAACCCACCGGGTCTCCTTGGGAGAACCACGGGCAATCTGCTCCACATCTGGTGGAGGGTCGACACGAGCTGGGTGTGACGTGAGCGAGGAAGTCACTGGACAAGCTTTCTAGGGCCAGCAGGCCCATCAAACCCACTGTTAACACGCTGAGTCCACCTCAGAGGTGCCCCACAGGACAGAGGAGAACCACCACTGGTGGTCAAGGCCGCCATCTGTGGAAGTGACCACCACACTGCTCCTCTCCGGAGAGGGGAGGCGTTCCACTCGCTCACTTTTCAGGTGGCGGTCAAGTTTCTATCTACTGCACCACCATGACTCTTGACTTCTAAGCCGTGTTTCCCTTCTTAAGCCCTGTTTCTTTATAGTTCTCAGTTTTTAAGAAAGTTAAAGTTATCATGTTAAGATTAAGTTATCAAGTAAATGAAATTACGGAACCAAGTGCTTTCCTAATATTTCCCCTCTTCTACTGAACAAACTAATTCTAGAATCTGATTAATTATTTTAGACACTTAAGTGTCTAAAAATTCCTTTTAGGTGGCAGAATATCTAATTGTATGACACTATGTTCTACTACTAGTAACCAATCTGGAAGACAACCAGTTGGCTGACTGGAGGAGATCCATATTTATTCCCTTTCCAAAGAAAGGTGACCTGACAGAGTGTGGAAATTATTGAATACCACTAATAGCACACACAAGAATTCTGCTGAAGATCATCCAAATATGATCAGAACAGTACACTGACAGAGAAAACTACCATAAATACAAGTTGGGTTTAGAAGAGGCCATGATGCTAGGGACATCATTACCAATGTCAGATGGATCCTGGCAGAAACCAGGGAGTACCAGAGGACTGTGCAACAAATTGTGGCTAACCTTGAGGAGAATGGGAACCCCAGAACACCTGACTGTGCTCATGCAAAACCTGCACTAGGACCAGGAAGCAGTCCTCAGAACAGAACAAGGAAAACACTTCATGGTTCAAAGTCAGGAAAGGAGTGCATCAGGGATGCATCCTGTCTCCAAACCTTTTCAACCTATATGCAGAACAGGTCATTCTGGAGGCTGGGCTTTATGAGGAGGAATGGGGCATCAGGATTGGAGGAAGACTCATCAACAATCTGTGTTATGCAGATGACACAACCCTGCTTGCTGAAACTGAGGAGGACCTGAAGCATTTGCTGCAGAAGGTCCAGGACTGTAGTCTTCAATATGGATTGAAGCTCAACATCAAGAAAACAAAGATTCTCACCACTGGGCCAATTGGCAGCATCATGGTAGATGAAGACTGAGATTGTTAAGAGCATCAGCTTGCTTAGTTCCACAATCAACACTCTTGGCACCAGCAGTCAGGAACTCAAAAGACAAAATGCATTAGGAAATCTGCTGTAAGGGACCTCTCCAGAATGTTAAAGAGCAACGATGTCTGTCTAGAGACTAAGGTGCGCCTGATCCAGGCCATGGTCTTCACTGTTACCTGATATGTGTCAGAGAGCTGGACAATGACTAAGGATGACAAAAGAATTAACTGGTGCCTTGCAGTTGTGGTGCTGGAAAAGAGTACTGAACATACCATGGCCTGCCAAGAAGTCAGGCAGGTTTGTCCTAGAGAGGGTGAAATCAAGTCGCTCCTTGGAGGTAAGGGTTTTTGAAGCTTCGTCTCACAAACTTTGGACATATTTCCAGGAGAGACCAGTCCTAGAGAGGACATCATGCTTAGAAGGGTAGAGAAACAGCACAGGAAAGGAAGATCCTGGAGGAGAAGTACTGACACAGTAATGGGGGAGATGAGGGTGGAGTGTGTCAGAGACAGATTAGTCCTGGACAGAGCAGGGTTCAGAGCTACTGTGCACAGAATGAGTCACTATGTGTTGTAGGTGACT